CAAACCTTTAAATAATTCTCCATCTTCATCTTCATCATCCAACAAAGAGAAGAAGAGAAAAATTTAAAGTGATGAAAAAATTATTATTAAACAAAGAGAAGAAGAGAAAAATTTAAAGTGATGAAAAAATTATTATTATTAATTACAACAAAAAGTTATAATTTTGGAAGGCCTTCTCAATTAAGAGTAGCCCTCCTCTCCAAAAGGAGTTACAAAAATTTTCACACCCTTAACCTCTCACTCTCTACCCCTATTTATAGTAATCATCAATGAATATGAGCCATTTGATTTGTCTTGAGCCCCAAGCAATAATCTTCACCTTTGAATTTACTTTTTGTTCTTCTCTAGCCCAACATAGAAGGCCCATATGATTTCCACAAACAAATGAAAAATCCAAGTTGCAAAAGTCAGCAGGTCCGATTCTTGAGAACAAATGAAGTCTGCACCGGTTCTTGAGAACAAATGAAGTCTGCAGCAAAGTTGGTCCAATTCAAATCTGCAGCAAAATAGTCCGGCCCAATGAGCTTCACTTGAAAATCAAAATCCGTCAAGCATGTCCGGCCCAACTACAGCAAATCAAATTAAAAGCCAAAGTCTAAGTCAACCGGCCCAATTCAAAAACTGATTTTCAAAGTTAACAATCAAGTCCAGCAGCAGCAAGTCCGGCCCCATTTGTGATTAAAATTCAAATCTGCAGTCCGGCCCAAATGATTTGCAGCAAAGAAAAACAAGCCGGCCTCCAAATCTTTTTCTTCAGTCCTTGAGTCTTGAAACAAATCTGGCCCAATTGATTCCTTGCATCCAATGGCATTTGATTTTTTTGACATTAAATTCTGCAGCAGCCATCAAGTCCAACCTATTTTGCATCCAATGATTTATTTGATAAATGAAAATCTAAGCCAAGTCCAAATCTGCAGCAATAAATTTGGTCCATGAAACTTCCCTTGGTTTAATATTTTTGATGGGCTTTGGGCCTTCAAATTTCGAAAATTCACTTGTGAATAAAGATGAACTGCCATGGACATGTTGGGTTGTTTGGGCTTTTGAGCTTTAAAATTCAAGTATTTCATTTGGCTTCTTGAATTTCTCTTTATTTCTTCATTTACTCAAGAGTCTTTGTTGAGAGATGGGATTTTTGGGATTTATTCTTCATTAACCTGCAATTAAAAATAAAAGCAATTATTAGTGATATATTTATTCATATAAAATAGATAATGAGGGTATAAATTTGTAATAAAATGTGATTATCAGCCGCATAAGCCAACCTCTGCGCNACATCGCTGCCCATCTTCGCCATAGCCGCCAGATCCGCTAGGCCACCACTCTAGTTTGCCAGGCCAAGCTTCTCATCCTCTACCCTCTCCCGCATCCCAGCCCTCGGCGCGCCGCTGCCAAGAGCCCTACTAGGTCGCGTCCCCATCGACCTTCCCTCGAGCTCCTCTCGTCACCGTTGGCGCTGCCGTTGTACATAGCAGCCATCCCACGCCAGATCTGATCTCGCACGTCGACGTCGACACGTTCGACGAATACACTAAGGCAAGATCTTGCCTCTCCTTTTTATCATTTTGATATTTACATTCTATATGTGGAATACACTAAGGCAAGATCTTGCCTCTCCTTTTTATCATTTTGATATTTACATTCTATATGTGTAGATTAGTTTTATTATAATTAACTGTGTTGGTTATTGGTGAATGCTACTGATTTAAATCATAGATGTGTGATAAGTAGTTGTAGGGGTGAATTTCTGATTTCCCAAAAATAGAGATTTCGTTTGTATTGATAAGAATAGCTTATTACAAACTAATGAATCGAAAATTACAACAGAAGCGGAGGGAATGCCCTCCTTGTTTAACGTGGGGACTTTCGGTAGCTATAGGATGCTTCGCTCGGTTCTCGCACCGAGTCTGCTTCCCTTGGACTATCTGATCGAGGTTGCTGGTGAGCTTCAGTATGTAGTAGAAGCACGGATTGATGGAGTTCGAGTATCCTAGTTTGATGGCGATCAGGGTCCGAAACTAGGAGAAGATGCTGCAATGTGAAGATTATGCAAAGAGCTTGTCGTCAACTCTCTTAGGAGTCGAGAGCCAGTGGTTCAGTTAACTGATTGAATTAATCAATTAGCTATGAGCGAACTGTTGAACGATGAACCCCTTTTCTGAAGCCAGGAGAGGTTCTTAAATAGAGGAGAGACGGCGTGGCCGCTCCTTGAATCATGGGATATGACCATGTACTGTTGGGAGATCCCATGCCTCTGGCTTGTACCATAAGCGGCTGCTTGATGGGCTCGGAGCACTGTACTCCGAAGTACTGTACTCCTTCCCTTCACATCGTGAGGAGCGAGGCGGCTCCTCCTTGTACGTGGGATAGCGGCTGCCCAGTACTCGAGTGGGTTTAGCCAGCTTACCGTTTACAGGCGTGTTCAGCTCTTGACTCGTGCAGGCGAGATGAGCTTCCTGCAGGCAGATTTGGTGACTGATCGGTCACTCGTACTGTGAGAGGCTACTTGATGGGCTCGGAGTACTGTACTCCTTCCCCTCACATCGTGTAGGTAGCGGGAAGGCCCATCCCTGTACGCAGCATAGCGGCTGTCAAGTACTTAAGTACCCAGTCAGCTTGCTGTTTGCGGGCGAATTCATCTCCTGATTCGTGCAGGCAAGGTGAACTTCAATCATGAGCGTGCAGGCGGATTTAGTGACTGCACGGACTTGACTGGTTGCTCGTACTACGAGCGGCTACTCGATGGGTTGGAGTACTGTGCTCCCTCTCTTCACGTCGTGGGAAATGGAAAGGCTCATCCCTATGTGAGGCGTAGCGACTGTCGGGTACGAACTCGACTCTCGACTTGTGTAGGCGAGTCGAGTAAGCAAGCGAATTTGGATGATCTTGACTCGTGCGGGCGAGTTGATCATACCGGCGAATCCTTGATCAACAACCACGGGCGAATTCGGGGCTCGTGCGGTTTGGGTTTGCGCTAGCCGTAGACGAGCCCTGCCCTTAATTTGAGTGGGCGACTCTATCTCGCAGGCGAATTCAGGTATAAGTTAGCGGCGATAATTTTTACCGTCTACAGTAGTATTTTCAGAATAGTTATAATAAATTAAAAGAATTTATTTGGTAACGGAATTATTTTAAAGAATGTATAAATTTTTAAAAGAATTTATTTTGAGGAAAAAGAATTATTTTAGAATATTATTTTAAAATGACAAGTTAGGTGTTAAAATTAGAATTTACAGAATATTATAGAAAGAGAAATTAATTAAAGGTAATTCATATAATAGGAAAATATTACCTTTCATGCAGAAATTTACTACATTATTATATTATAGAATGCTTAAGTACAGATAACTTGCATGAGAAGTTTGGACATCCCAGTAGTAAGATAATAATGAAGTTCTCTTATGTATGCATTCATGTTGTAGTAGACTGTTCATGCATTTTATATTCCATTATAACTCTTATTCATGCTTCATAACTTGTTTAATCATGTTTAATATGTAGTAATATTATTCATTATCTTGATGTGTTGAGAACCTTAGTAGTTCATAACTTAGTGGCCTTGTGCGTCATGAACAGACCTAGTGACACATGTGGGTGTTGTCCGAGTTAGGTGGTGAACCCGAGTTTTATAGGAAATGTGATTGCTGACGTAGGGTATCTAGAAGAGTTGGGATGGGAAAGTCCTTGTTCATGTGATCGAATATAGCTGTTGATGTATCTTCCAGGCTCACCCTATGATCCAGTGTAGCTTGGGGCGAGTTTGTTGGGTCAAAGTGAAGCCAGTGTAGTCACTTTAGTCCGTGAATTGGACATTCCCCGAATTTAACTTGAGTTCGAACCAGGTTAAAATCGTATTGCGTGTAGCCCTCTGACCAATCCAGTGTAACAGCGTATTGGGTATACGTAGGGAATTTATGAACAGTCAGATATCCGGTGATATGAGTCATGACTTTATGTGAGGAGTTGACCAGTAACTTGTTATAGGATGGATTAGTCGTAGGAATTAGATTACCAGTTGGCTTGAGTTCTTCTGTTCATTCTGAGAGTAGCAAAAGTTCACTTAAATTACTAGAATTACAGAATCATGTTCCATCATTATTATAATCATAATATGGGTCGTTAGACCGTTTTAATTGTTCATGTGAGATCTTGTCGTGTGACATGCACGCTGACGTATACCTATTTTCTCTGGTGTGTGTCAGACTTAGGAGACGGATAGGTCTAGCTTGACGTTGAAGCAGAGCCAGCGTATGCCGAGCCAGAGTGCTTTCCCGAGGGAGTAGAAGAACCAACTGAAATGTAGTGGTTTCCTTCTATAGTAGTAGTTGGACATTAGAACTCTTTTACTGTACTTTTCTTTAGTTAATGTCGGATTTTCGTATTTTGGCAGTACTTTTTTTTATTATGGACTATGTATTTTTATTTCTATCTGGAACTGTTTTGTAATAAGGGTATGTTGGACCTATATTTTTATGTCTAGGATGATCTGTTTTTGATTATATGTTCATTTCTTATTCTGGATTGTCTTTATATTCTTGTTATTGTGATCGGGGACCTGTGATTGAGATTTATGTATTTAACGCTTAGAGTATTAGATTGAGAAGAAAAAAAGAAAAAAACAATAGTGTATATTTCTTCTCAATCTAATATGTCGTGGACTTGTTCACTTTCTGATTTTCGGGTATTTTGGGAAGCGGGGTGTGACAGGTTTTAGTGGTGGCCCATGCAGGTTCCAGTCCCGAGTCCTCACTAGTAAGAATATAGTGGACAATTTAGATACATATCATATTTCATCCGTAAGACTACGATTAAGTTCTTAAACTATTATTTTAATAATTATGTTTTAATACCTATTTTCTGATATACTGTTTTGATTTTAACCTTAGTTTTCTTTTTGATTCTCGTTTTCCTTCAGAACCTTGGTGGGTACTCGCGATTTTAGTAACCCGTCTAGTTGCAGTGCCCCGCAGTCCGAAGTGGATCCAAACTAACTTCTGGCAATGATTCAGAGATTGGTCACCAATCAGCAGCACCTGGCTGGGCAGCTATACAGGGAGCCTCAGCACCAGCCTCCCCCTCGCACAGAGTCTAGAGTTAGAGAGTTTCGATATATGCAGCCTCCTTCCTTTTCTGGTGCTGAGGGACCTTTAGCAGCAAAGGAGTTCCTCAAGGTCACTAAGACTATTCTCACGGTGACCCGCATTGCCCATGCTGAGTGGATGGACCTCATGGATATTCAGCTCACCGATACCGCTCGAATATGGTGGGCAGCTGAGAAGACTCATCTGGAAAGGCCCATCCTGTGGGAGACGTTCACCGAGCGCTTCAATAGGAAATATTTTACTCAGTTATCTCGGGATGAACTCCTACGTAGATTTGTTGAGCTTAAACAAGGAGGGCGAACAGTTGATGAGTACGAGGCTGAGTTTTCTTCTTTGAGCCGATATGCTCCCCACTTGGTTACAGACCCTACGATTAGGAGGCATCAGTTTTAGAAGGGTCTGGACAAGTACATTAGGATGGCTCTGACAGGTAGAGCTTTGGCAACCCATGATGCAGTACTAGATGTGGCGCGCGAGATTGAGAGCGTGCATAAGGAACCTGAAGACTCACACGTGATTCAGAGCAGGACAGTAGCAGCTCCGGCCCGGAATGTCGAGTGTTCCCCTCTGAGATAGCAGTAGCAGGCTTCGCAGAGGCAGTAGCATTCTCAACGTCAGCCATCACCTCAGAGTCACCCTTATCAGTGCCTTGGAGTGCAGACTCATGGCCAGCCATCGGTGAAGTGTACTCATTGCGGCTACACTAGGGATACCTAGCAGGAGTGCCACAGGCATCTTCGTCTGTGTTATGCCTGTGGATCCTCTGATCATGTCAGTTGGAACTGTCCGCAGCGGCAGCAGGCCAGTTTACCACCCCCACCTTCAGTTCGAGTAGCTCTTCCAGCTCCACCTCGACCTGCCCTAGCAGCACCGCCTCAGCATAGATCTTATCCTCGAGCAGGGCCACTTACCCCACAGCAACAGGTATATCAAGAGGCACACAGACAACAACCTCAGCGACAGATGTTTATGGTGTCAGTCGTAGAGGCTGAGGCGATCGACCAGGTTATCATTGGTAAGAATTATTCATCTTAGTTTTATTTGCATATGAACTTCCTTATTTAGCATCATATAATGATATCATGATAGGATTGTTTATGAATACTAAGTTAGTTGCATTTACATCCTCCTATAATAGGCAATGTTCTTGTTTCTTCCGTTTTTGCTTTATCACTCTTTGATTCTGGAGCCTCCCATTGTTTCTTGTCTTGTCGATTTGCGAGTGCCCACTCTCTTCCTATAGCTTCTCTGACTATGGGCTGGAATTTCAACACTGGTAGTGGCGTTTTAGTAGCATCTAGTGGTTATGAAGCATGTCATGTGGTTATCTGCGGGAGGGAACTCTTTGTAGACTTTTTGGTGATTGATTTGTTGAGTTTTGATGCAGTATTTGGGATAGATTGGTTGGGGTTGTTCTTTACCACCATTGATTGTCATCGTCGGAGCGTAGTATTTGAGATACCGGATCACCCGAGATTTGAGTTCACCAGTGGCAGCACATCGGCCGAACCTATGGAGTACAGAGCTAGACTGAAGAAGGTGACTCTAGCTACAATGCAAGTGGAATCCGAGAAGCCAGATGTAGTTTGAGAATTTGAAGATGTGTTTCCCGATGATATTTACGGGTTGCCACCGGATCGAGCAATTGAGATTTTCATAGATTTGAAGCTTGAAGTTGCGCTGATCTCCAAGACCCCTTATCGTATGCCTCTGGCAAAGTTGACCGAGCTTCCAACCCAGTTGGATGATCTTTTGCAACGAGGGTTGATACGACCTAGTGTATCGGCCTGGGGAGCACCTGTGTTGTTTGTGGGAAAGAAGGATGGATCAAAGCGGATGTGTATTAACTATCGGGAGTTGAATATAGTGACAGTGAAGAATAAGTACCTACTTCCCCGTGTTGATGATATATTCAATTAATTAGGAGGATCGAGAGTATTTTCTAAGCTGGATTTGTGGAGTGGGTATCACCAGGTGAAGGTTAAGGATTCTAATGTCCCCAAGACTACATTCCGAATGAGATATGGACATTATGAATTCTTAGTGATGCCGTTTGGTGTGACTAATACGCCGGCGACATTCATGAACCTGATGAATCTGGTATTCTATGATGTACTGGACAAGTTTGTGGAAGTTTTTATTAATGATATCTTGGTGTACTCTAAGAGTGAGGCGGAACATGAAGAGCATTTGCGGTACGTGTTGAAGACCTTGAGAGAGCATCGGCTATTTGCTAAGTATAGTAAGTGCCAGTTCTGGCTGGATCGTATTGCGTTCCTAGGACACATGGTGTCAGGAGACGGCATATTAATGGATCCGGAGAAGGTATCTGTAGTGAAGGATTTGTAGGCGTCAAAAAATTCTGATAGATATCCAAACACAGTTCAAGACAAAAAAGAAGATCATCCAAAGATCACAAGAATTGGCCTCATGCTGTCTTGAAAAGATCAAGACAGTGGGGACTGTCTCGCACGCGGGACAGTGTTTACTGTATCACACGCGGGACAGTGTTTACTATCTCGTAATGCGAGACAGTGTTGACTGTCTCGCATGTGAGACAGCTTTGAAATGATCAAAAGTTGCTAAAATAATTGCATGACACATGTACATTAACTGACAAAGAACGTGGAAAACATCATGGGCGAGAATCACGTGGATAACTATCAAAATAACGGAGTTTGAAATGTGGAAGGTAGTTACAATAGAAACCGTCGGGAAGTTTGGGTTTTTCGAGACAGTCTTTACTGTCTTAGGAGCCGAGACAGCAAATACTATCTCGATCACCGAGACAGAGAACACTGTCTCGCAGTCACAACATCTCCACAATGCTATATTTTCAGTTGAACTTCTCCTGGAGGCTATAAATACCCCCCTAAGGCCATTATTTACCAGCATCTGAGAGCTGGGAGCAGATAGAGTAGCAGACTTGAGTTATTTAGGTGATTCCTTGAGATTTAAGCTTCGACTAAATCTTGAGAAGAGTGTTCATCTTACTTTGATAAGATATTCACTGATTTTCATTCTTGCTTCTAAACGAAGGAAGAATACCAAAGACACTCACGATCTGTGAATCGGTGGTCCACGAGTCAAATCACTCCCGGCACAGGCAAAGTCTGACAAAACAGGAATAGATAAACAAAATCTTCCTCACCTCGTAAGTGCAGGAAGATTTCGTCTTCCAAGAAGGTTTTCCAGTCTTCAACTCCAAAAATCTTCCTCACCTCGTAAGTGCAGGAAGATTTCGTCTTCCAAGAAGGTTTTCCAGTCTTCAACTCCAATGAAGACTATGGGTGAAAATTCTTAGGAAGATTTCGTCTTCCAAGAAGGTTTTCCAGTCTTCAACTCCAATGAAGACTATGGGTGAAAATTCTTGCCCGATTGTGTCTAAGGATGCTACTTGCACCATACCTACTCTAAATGACCCTTCCCCAGTTAAGGGGTCGTTGAACCAAAGCTCACTGGCACTGTCAAAGAGGGCTCGCCAGAGACAACGGTAGTGCCGTGCACGTCAATTGGCTAAGGCCTTAGAACAAACCGACGGGGTTCGCTACTATGCGGACCTAGAGTTGAAGAAGCATAGAGTGATTCGGTTGCCTCAACGATAAACTAATCACATTCCTGCACAACTTACGACGGATGAATGGACTCTCGTCAAAAGGGCTCGTTCGACCCTTAAAGAACGTATACAAAAGCGTCAGGTGAAGGCCGCTCGTGCCCGTGCCCTTCGTCAACAGACGCAAGGAAAGAAGAAGCCCGTGCCCTTCGTCAACAGACGCAAGGAAAGAAGAAAGAAATGGTGTCTGAGAAATCGCCAAAAAACGGCAAAGTTTGGATTCCCAAAACCAAACATGTACAAAAATTGGAGAAAGGTGGCACATCTCTTAACCGCGACACTAATCATTGCCGCGGCCAAAAGGAGGTTTGCAAGATTGTCCCTTCGACTCTAGCGACGTCCACTCCTGATCCGTCTACTACGACTATGTCTACTGTATCACCAGTAAAACCCTGGGTTAGTCCAGACTTATCAAAATTCAAGATTACAATGGCAGATCGCCTCGGTCCTCTGTCTGACGATCGAGGCAAAGCTCCAATCAAAGAACACTCGAATCCAACTAATAAACCCTTAATGGTTTCTTACACAAAGGGTCGTAAATACCCTCCTGTTAGAACAGAACAAGTCCAAAATGAGAAAATACCAATTCACTCTCATTTAGGGCCTGTAAAAACTCCATGCTCGCAAGGGGGTAGGCGTAAGTATTCAACCTTGGATCGTCCAGAGAAGACAACTAGTCATCCTGTGCATGTCAACAAGGTTCAAAAGCAGAAAATAGGTGACTCGAATCACGGTAATGATGAGTTGTACTATCAAACTAATAAGTCACGAAAAAGGGTTACTCGAGGAACGAAGTCTCATTGCGTGTGTGAAAGGCTTATTAAGGTAGTACTGATAGAATGCGGTTGTTCCAAGGCTAAACCGACGAGAGTCTCAGTATTTCAAAGACTTTCCACTGAAACGCCAAAACCCAAAATGAGGCGTTTCAATAAGAAGAAACCTACAATTCAGCAAAATGAGTTCCCAGAGGTCACTATTAACATGACCGGTAGAGGAAAGCAACGTTTGGTTAATCCGGATCCTGATTTCTCTCCAGGAGGGAGAGTTGAGCAGGGTCTTTCCCAAAGAATGTCACGGCTACAACGAAGGGCCAACCGATGTCGAGACTATAAGAAAATGCATGAAGGTCTATCTTCAGACGAGGAACTTTCAGATACATGTTCTGTTGTCACCTCGGATGATACAGTATCCAGTGTTGGACGAGTCAGAGAATCATTTGTAATTACACCTGACCAATTAGCTCAGATACTGCAAGAGGCGTTAGCTAAACAACGCGAAGAAATTAGAGCTGAAATCAAAACCGAGATGGAATTGACGATGTAACAGATGCGAGATTTGCAGGCTCAACATCACCAACCGGAGCTGAGTCAGAAGGCTAAATCTAGCCAGCGTAATGCTATACCTGTACGTATAACTAAGGTCGCTAATGACCATGACAAGGATGAAACCATCTTCGCTGATCCTCTTTCTGATAAAGACAATTCGGGAAGCAGTCCGGCTATGTCATCTACTCAACCTCCTCAAATTTATTTAAAGAAGAATAAGGAAGAGGACAAGATGATGCAAGATCTTGAAAGCAAAGTCAATGCTCTGATGATAGCCCAGGAAGTGAAGAAAACGGGCATTCCATATCTGTACCAAGGGAGTGGGATCTGATTCCTTATCCCCTAAAATTTAATTTGATTAACTTTACTCCTTTTGATGGCAGGGGCTCACCTACGCAACATCTAATATATTTCAAATCTCATCTTGGTACGATCTCCGGAAACGAAGCTTTGAT